AAACAAACATGTAATTAATGATATTCTATTTCCAGCAAGCATTAATTAATTTTGACTTTTCTACCTACTATTTTTAGTAAATATGATGGTTTTTTATATATGTACATATGGGAGAGGAAAAGTAAAAGGAAAAAAACAAAAAATTGAAAACCAACTTTAGATAGAATAAAAGAAAAATCAATATTGCATGGAAACTTTTGAAATCGAGGTAATAACACTGCAATCAATCGAGGTAATAACACTTCAATCGCAATAAATGGCCTGAAATTTACGCCATCCAAATTGCACTGTAAGTATATACTCCCATTAAATCCATTTCCTAGTGGAAAATTTTGAGAAATTCAAATCAGAAAGGTCACGACTCGGGTGGTTCGGATTATGCTCGGGTCAGCTCGATCTGCTCTGTCGGCTCGGACAACTCATCTTCCAAAGCTTCACAATAGTAGACCTATTCAACACCAAAGTAAACGCCCGCCCAGGAGAAGCAACGCGCCCGGCAGAATCCCGCACGCTTGCCCGGGCGAAAGTGAGCGCCTGGCGTATCCCAGGCTCTGGCCCTGGGCGTCTCGCCCGCCTAACGAAAGGGTGCACCCAGCGAAACGGCGCGCAGCCGCCCAGCGGTCTAGCACACCCAGCGAGCCCGGGCCAGCCTGGGCACTTCAAATGCTCGATATTTACCTTTTTTGTTTTTCCTTTTTTTTTGGCTCGGCTCTAACAAGTCGTTTCTGCCGAGCAGGTCAACACGAGTTTTTTTTTATATGATTAAAAAGAGAAAAACAACAAAAATAAAAACGTGGGTTGCCTTCCACGAAGCGCTTGATTTAAGGTCATGAGATCGACGTCCCCAACTAAAATTAACCGGGGTCCAAAAAGAAATGTCGATTGTGCCACGCCTTTGACTTTATAAAAGTAGCCGCAACGGGAGAACGAAACAATGGTGAGCCAAATACACTCTCGCGGCCAAATTCATGTCAAACAGAGCACAGATATCAATAACCTTATATTATGTCTTTTAAGCCAAACTTAATATAAAGTATTAAATAAAATTCATTCACAAAATTAAATATTATGTCTTTTTAACCAAAAATAATTGCACAGTAATGTATAGTGCATTAAGCAATAACTTGTTTGGATATGCACATTAAAAATACTTGCGATGCATATTGCACAATAGTATTAGATAAGTTGCAGATTAGTGCATGTGAGATTACACTTTAGCATAACACTATACCAATCGAAACAAATTTTTTGTTATGGTTTTTGTATGTCGGTTTGGTTGTGTTTTTTAAAAATTTGGGTTATTTCACTTCAGTTTCTGCTTTATTTTTTAAAACACCGAAATATCCGAACAGACCAAAATATATATAAAAAAATTATTATATATATATATTATGTCTTTCCAGCCAGAAATAATATAAAATATTAAATTAAAATATTAAAATACTAAATATATTTTTATAATATAAATAATAAATCATTTTGGTAATATTGGTTTATTTGGTTATTCGACCGAATAAACCGATTATTTTGGTTCAGTTTTAGTTTGTTTTGGGACAAAATTTTCACCCATTCACTTTTTTTGACAAGTTCAACTTGGTTATTTTGTTTTTTATATTTCAGTCAGTCGGTTCGACCTGATCCACCAATAAACAGCCTTAAGAGGCGCGGTGGGAATTCGGTAAATTTTGGTAAATTTATGAACCGACCGATGCATAACTATGTGATTTCATAAAATTATAACGGGATTTTCAATATGCATGTTTTCATGTAATAATATGCATTTTATGTACTAATATTGTGCATATATTGAACTTTTATTAAATTACGGATCTGCCTCACATACTAAATTGTAATATATTTAAATTTATGTAATTTCAATTATGTCCCCGTAAATTATATTAAAAAACAAAACCCAATCCCAAAAATTGTTTCCCGGCCGTCCATGCCATGGAGGTCGCCCTCATCGCCTGACGACCACCTGGCCGTCTCTCTCCACCGCCGACTATATCTGGTCCGGTCCCTATGAATGTTTGTAGTTTTTAAGCCGAGTACGGAATAAATTTCGACCTCGGGTCATCTTCTTGGATGACTGTTGTTCGGAGCTTCATTTACAATCTAGTCGTCAAATCACAAAACCGAAAATAAAGTCCTACACATGCTACTCGCTTGATTTGGGTGAAATAAAACTAATTTGCAATAAGAATTGAAAGCAATTGATGAAAGATGAGTGATTTGGAAGAAAAGATTCGAACTTTGGTTCCACGGAGTCTCCTTCACTTGACAAAAATGAAAATAAACGAAGAGAAACATGCTACCAATAAGATCCTAGGTAGATAAACCGCGCCTTCTTAACTAAATAATCACGCTTTAACAAAGTCGGGACTTTTATAACAAGATAGGCATAACTTTAACTCTTAACACTCAAACACGCATAAAAAAGTAAAACAAAGTCTTAAATCGAGCATCAACACAAGATTTTGACCAAAACACAAACTCGAAGTAATATGTCCTAATCAAGATACTTAACCTCCTATCGCAAGATCGGACGAAAATAATGCGTAAATATTGAATTTTGGATAAAAATAAAGTCGCCGGAAAATATCACGTCTTGGACCTCCAAACCAAAGTATAAAATAAAAAGAGAGAAAAAGAGCTAATTTCCTAACTAAAAATTTGGGAAATGAGAGGTGTGTCCATAAATACAAAATACAATGTCTATTAATAGCTACATATAAAACACACACTAAAACACACACACATTTAATGAAATACACTCGCCCATTCAGGCCGTAGGCAAATTTTTCTGCCCAATGAAATGTGGTGCGGTCAGCCCGGGCCAATAACTTTGCCCATTTTCTTGCTGGGCGAGTGCAGGTTGGGCACTTTGGGGGCGAACGGCGCGGGACACACACACGATGCTAGCAGTCGCACGAGGACGTTGGCAGACGCGCGGCGCGGGGTTGCTGATGTGCGACTCGGTCCTCAATTTCTTTTTTTAGCAGATAGAACGCAAACCGTCCACAATTTTTCTTGTTACATTACGCATATTTTGTTGTTCTTATCGCGAATCATTTTTCAGGTAAGAGAACATCATTTTCGTACTAAATTTTCATGTGAAAGCTTCTTCTCTAGAAACAAAACTAAGGACAAAGAAAATTGCCCCAACTCCTTGATTACTTTCCATATCACATACAGAACCATTTCTGCGCATATGGAATCAGACGGTGCATTAAACTATCCTAAAGTTGAAGCTGTTTTCACCATACATTGCTCACTAGAATCCACTATAAAAGAGAATGTCTTAAAGCCATCATGATTAGGACGGGCAATTGCCCCAAAAGGATGTCTATCTGTTTGATTCCCTAAAAAGTTCCTTATCCCAAAGAATATTGGTGTCAATCCAAATTTCAGGTGGACAAAAAAGTACATCTGTGTCAAGTATCATTAAAAATAAAGAGAAACAACAGAAGCTAAAATAAATAAATAAATAATAGAAACCCAAAGTGATTTAATTATGAAAGTATAGCTTAAGTCGTCTATATTGTTTTCTGATCACGGCACGATTTCTGCATTCATATAAAGTGTTTTTATTAACCATCTCCCTCCACATGTCTAACCCAACTCAAAAATCGTCTAAAGCTTACTTAAGCTTCGGATGGTCAGCTCAACAATCAAAAACCTGAAACATATTTCTTTTGTTTCAGGTTACAAAAACTTTCACCAGACAGAAATGTCTCCCAGACTGCATTCAACAGTAACACCATGACCCCAACTCGTTTTGAGTTTTGAGGGCATAATCTTCATTGAAGAGTATAACTTTCAGATGTAACACATTCAAGGCCTCACTTTCTACATGCCTTACGATTAATACCAAAAAAAAAGTTCCCGTTTTGGTTTTGTGGCATTATATATTTCACAAGAACCAGAAAGTTTCTCCAAATAAACGAACTTCTAAATTTCCACACGTTTTGTGGCATCATATATTTCATAAGAACCAGACAGTTTCTCCAAATAGACGAACTTCTAAATTTCCACATACATTCAAGGACCGCCTGCCGTTCTCACTTCTCACTACAGCTTCAGAAAAGTATACCTAACATATTATTAAAATATTTGAACCAACTCTTTACCGAAATACCAAAAGCCAGAAAACATGCAAATTCAAACTCAGAATCAACTACGAAAAAGATGAATCATATGTCCACCAAGTAGAGCAGAAATTTCATTGTGAATATTTCAATTTACATACACATATAATTATATCTATTCCTCACCATATCAAACCCATATATTTCGGTTTTCACAAAATAGAAGACCTGCACCCTCAACAACTTCATAGAGCATAATACATGACCGTGCAATTAATATGAAAGAATTTAAAAATATCTCGGGAAATAATTCGAGCAGACATCCCAGATTGGTAAATCAACAGAATAGATACCAAGTTTATTGATCTGCACATTACATAGTAGTAACAACTTGTTAAGACTACCATGAGTCAACTTACTATCAAGACATTATAACCAAGGACCCACAAAACAAGGGGTGATGACTGTCCTTGAAGATTACCATGACCTCTACACTAGCTTAATTAAATATCAAGCATGTCAGTCGAAACATTATAAACGATGTATTACCATGATCACACAATAGACAGCACACTACATGCAACCAGTCTAGAAATTCACCCAGAAAAACAAATGCAAGACCATAAAAAGCAGCAGCCGATAATTAAACATTCCAGGATAATACCAAACCTGAAAAACAGTACGAAAAGCATCCATTCATAAACAAAACAAATTCAACCGCAGTGCACCCAAAGGTCCACGTCTTCAAAATCTTTACATTAAATAAAAGATAAAAAGGCCTGGTTAAAAGCCCTTCAACATCCCATAAAAAGCCCAGCAGAGTAAGAACACTTTATATGATTACCCAGCAAACTCCATAATCTCTACTGAGGTTATCGTCAATATCACAAAATCCTGTTATACTCAAATCACTCAGTGTTGTGCCCACTGGATGCTTTTGATGTCTATCCCATCCTTATACATCTCATACAGAGGACTCATCTCCCTCAATTTCTCCACCTGCTTCACAGTAAGCTCCGCCGCCCGATCAATCTCTTCCTCAGTCGTGAACCTCCCAATCCCATACCTAATCGACGTGTGGGCCATATCTTCATCAACACCCAAAGCCCTCAAAACGTACGAAGGCTCCAAACTCGCACTCGTGCAAGCACTGCCACTCGACACAGCCACCTCCTTTAACCCCATCAACAAGCTCTCTCCTTCAACAAACGCAAACGAAAGGTTCAAATTTCCCGCATACCGACTATTTTCACTCCCATTCACCACAACACCTTCCAATTTCTCTCTAATCCTGTTCAGCAAACGTTCTTGCAATGACTTTATCCTTTTATCATCATACTCCATTTCCTTCATTGCCAGATCACATGCAGCCCCAAACCCGACAACTAAAGGGGTTGGGACTGTTCCGCTCCTTATCCCTCTCTCTTGCCCACCACCATTCATTTGAGGCTCCACGCGAATCCTAGGTCTACGTCTCATGTACAGAGCCCCAATTCCTTTAGGCCCGTATATCTTATGTCCACTCATAGACATCAAGCTTATATTCATCTTGTTTACATCGATTGGTATCTTACCTAAAGCCTGGGCAGCATCAGTGTGAAGAGGGACGTTGAATTCCTTACATATCTTCCCGATTTCCTCCATCGGCTGTATCACTCCAATCTCGTTGTTCACCATCATGACAGAGACAAGCCCGGTGTCGGGCCGGATGAAGGCCCGGAGCTTCTCCAAGTCCAATAGCCCGTCGGGCTTCACAGGGAGATAGGTGATTTCGAAACCCTCTTGCTGCAGATGGCGGCAGGAATCGAGGACGCACTTGTGCTCGGTCTGGGTGGTGATGACGTGGCGCTTCTTGTCCCTGTAAAAATGCATGACGCCCTTGACCGAGATGTTGTTTGACTCGGTGGCGCCGGAGGTGAAGATGATTTCCTTCGGGGAGGCGTTGATTAGGGCGGAGACACTGGCGCGGGCCGATTCGACGGCTTGCTCCGATTCCCAGCCGTACAGATGAGTGCGCGAGTGAGGGTTTCCGAACTGGGAGACATAGTAAGGAAGCATGGCGTCGAGTACCCTGGGATCCACCGGCGACGTCGCCTGCATATCGAGGTAGAGAGGCCTGCCGGAGATTTTGACCCCTTTCATCGATATTCCACCGGAATCCTCCTCCAAAGGCTCGACCGCAGCCACGGCTGCGGTGTTCGAGAATGGGCGACGGCCGAAGGGGGCGGCGGCGGCGGGCTTGGATAGGTTACGGCGGATAGCGTTGGCTAGAAGCTTCGAAGCCATCGTCGAGTCGAAGTTCTTTTACTTGTACGGTGTGCAGCAGTATTTGTACATCTAGTACTCAAAGTTGCTGCCTTTAAATGGCAATTTCTGTCTCGATAACGCGAGGACAAATATAAAGAGAGGAACCGACTCTAGAAGGTAGGGGTTGTTCACGGTCCGGTTTTAACCGAAAAGAACCGTTAATTTGGATTGCGGATCGGTTAAATGGTCAATTAAAAAAGCCTTAAAAAATCCGGAGGTTAATTTTTTTAAAAATCTAGAATAACCGGTCCGGTTAACGAATTACCTGCGGCAAACTGCTGGTTTAACCGGACCGGTAAATATTAAAAAACTATAAAAAATATATATATATATATACACATTCAATCATTCACTATGGCCGACAAATACAATACATTCACTATGAATGTTTTGCTCTAATTATTTCAGGTATAAAATGAATGCTTGCTTGGGTTCAGTTTGCATAATTTAATCTTCATCATTTCTGTATTTTTATGTTTATGGGACGAAATGTTTATTTTTCACTGTTCTAAAAATCGGCCTAGGCGGCGCCTAAGCGCTAGGCGGTGCCCGGGCGCCTCCGATTTGTACAAATCGACATAAAAAATCGGCCAGGCGGCGCCTAGGCGGTCCTAGGCGCTCCTAGACGGGCTTGGCGTGCTCGGCAGCCAGGCGGTTAGGCGGCGTCTAGGCGGGCGTAGGCGGACCTAGGCGCTCCTAGGTGGGCTTTTTTTTTTTTTTTTTTTTTTTAAATACTAATTACATTATTTCATTCTCATGTTTTCTTTAATATACATTAATATTATTATTTGGACTTTGGTGTGTGAATTTATTATAAGTTGAGATAGTTTTATTTTGTACGTAGTTAAAATAAATAAAAAATAAGATATTTAATATTGATTTTTGGGCCCCGACTAGGCGCTCTAGGCGCTAGGCGCTGGTCGAGCGCCTAGCGGGCGCCTAGCGACTTTTAGAACATTTGTATTTTTATGCTTATGGGACGAATTGTGTATTTTTTATTTCATTATTGTTGTTTTTCTTAATTTTTAGACCCAAATAATCTTTTGGGACCAAAATTGAAAAATAAAAATTAAGCCAAAAATAGAAAAAATAAAATTGAAGGCCCAAAACAAGGTTTTGGATTTAACCGGTTAACCACCAAACCGGTCCGTCCAATGTGGTCCAGATTGTGGTTGGTTAAATAATAAAACCGGTCCGATTATGGACAAGAAAAAAAATTAACCGTTAGGTCCGGTTTGGTCATGGTTTGGGCTAAAACCGTACCAATCCGGACTTAGAACACCCCTAACAGAAGGTGCGAATATATAAAGTGAAAATTTGAAAACATATGAAGTGAAAATTTGTGTTTTCAGTTTTCACAAAGTTTTTCACTTGTTCACACTTTTTTTTGTTCGAAACGATAGAGGTTTCGTAAATAAAAGCGTACAAATGTGCAAAAATACGACCCCCTAGCTGAATGACACAACTAACAGCAGAATATGCATTAAGCGATGCATTAAGTGATGTAGTTTGTTGCGAATGGATAGGAAAACGACAACTGAAAGGTGGAATTAGTCATTAAGGTCGATGATGAAGGTGATGAGATCGGAGAAGAGATAAAAGAGGAGTATTTGCGGGAGAGAAAATTAGGGTTTGCGATTGAATTCATGGCATTTGTTAGTCTTAACAAGTTTATCATGTTAGTGGACTTTGGTTAGTGGTGGTTGTTGTGGTAAAATAAGCAGTACCAAAGATGTCCCTAGAAAAATCAGAAGTGATCACCCGACAGGTGGTCTCGAACATCATCCTGCACAACTTTCGGTTTTGATCCGAACCGACAGAAACCGAAACCGAAACCGAAATCGAATATTTAGTTCGATTTTCGGTCAATGGCTGCTGCGTTTTCTTTTCCCTTTCTCGCAAAGTCTCCGCCTTTTCTTTTTTTTTTTCGCAAAAAAATCTCTTCTGCTTAAAAAGTTATGCATATAGTTTTAAGAATATAAATTTTGCTTAATTTTCCACTTCCATCAATTTACTATATATGCATATAGTTTTAAGAATATAAATTTTGTTGTTAAGTTGTTAAATTGTTAGACAATCATGCATTATGAAAAAGTTATATACTGTAAAATATAATATTTTTATTTATTTTTTTGAAATATGTTATTATAGTATAAAAATATATAACTATTATAGTATCCAACATTTTTTGTAAAAAAAAAAATAGGCGAATAAAAATTTTGATAAAACATTTATTGAAAAAAAAAAACCGTTTTGATATAGTCATACTCGTATAAACCGAACAATGTCTTGATAGTTCGACCTCATTGTAAGTCGAGCTAGGCATGTTGACTCGAGTTGGGTGTATCGACCTGCGATAACTATTATAGTAAAACGACGACTACCACATGAGTGACTACGACTCGGGATCCATGATATCGACTTATGAGATAACGACTTGAAAGTTGAATCTAGCCACAGGGCAACTTGATACAAGCGAAGAGACGAGTAATTCAAGGACCTCGAAAAGGATTCAATGAACGACTAGCGAGATGGCAGTAGTGGCTCCACTCATCCCTATTAAGAATTCCAGTCGACCTCCCACATCTCGATGTTGACTTCACTCACCTCGTAGCTCGAGGGTTACATCAATGGAGGTCATACCTCGATGTTTAGTAAGCTTAAGAAATAAGGATGAATTTTAAGGGGATAAGATAAAATCTTAAGGTGACTGAGATCTGACTAAAACGTGACTAGGATGTGGATAAGCACTGAAGATCTGGGCAGCTGGGCAGGTTGACCGTCAGCACTCGGGCATGACATTCCGAGCAGATATTTTCCCAATAAAAGGGGCTGCGGTATCATCATATCACAACTTTACATTCCATATAAATCTCATACTACTCTTCTTTATAGAGCATCACCATTTTCTTGATACTTTCTTAAGCATCGGAGGCTCTTCGCTGGAAACATCTCTGGCGTTGAGTTCTTGCATGTATTCGTGGCGGTTTAGACAGATCGGAGCTCATTTTGAACGGTTCGATCCAGATCTAGGAGAGGACCCAACAATGTTATTATAGTTAAAAAATATATAAATAAATTAAAAATATTAACTATTATAGTATCCAAAGTTTTTTTATTCCAAAAATAGGCGAATAAAAATTTTGATAAAACATTTATTGTAAACTAGTGAGAATCCCGTGCGATGCACGGGGTTTCCGTACTTTAGAACTTTTTTTTAAACTTTATTATCACAATATATTAGCATGCTGACCCGTTTATATTATTATAAATAATATTTTAACATATATATTTATTTTTTAATACAAAATAATAATAATTTTACATATTTTGGTTCATCATAATACTCAATTATTAATCTATTATCATATAATGTCATTATTATTTATAACACTTGTAGAAGTAATATGTTTGTTATATAATGATAAATATGTAATGTATATTAATATTATTTATTGATGTAATTAATTTAAAAAGATATAAGCAAATTTAATGTTTGGTAGAAATGTGATTATATGTAAGTTGAGATAAAATGAAATGTATCAAAAAAATCTGCTTATGATATTTTCCTTTAAATGTTTGAATGAATTTGAAATTTAAATTACAAATCAACATCCAGTTATTCAAATAATTTTAAAAAAGTTACCAATTATAGTAAAATGTATGTGACAATATATTATAAATATACATGACGTCAGTAATGTTATGAATTTTGGGTTCCTAAAATATATATTGTTTAGATATGAAACTAATTAACTTATATATGAAGATAATATATATAAATATATGTATTGTACGAAATATACACGTGACAAGTTATTATATTTGTTTATATATTTGTTTGTATTGTTTATTATATTTGTATATAAATATATTCTTTATATATTTGTCTGTATTGTACGAAAAATTGTTATATTTGTTTATATATTGTTTAAATATATATTGCTTAGATATGAAACTAATTAACCTATATGTTAATATAAAAATAGGTATTGTATGTAATCTTAAACGTGTTTGCTAAATTTTTCCCCTAAAAATTTCAAAATACATTTAGGCATGTTTTGTTTGAAGTTTGAAATTTAAATATGCATCTATATAACAAATCCCATGATTTATGCTAGCATTAAATGCTACTTGTTTTTTTATTAAAAAAATAAAAAAAATACCAAAAATGGAATGCAATTAATATTCCCTATTTTCTTGCTTACTATTTTTGAAAAATGTTAATTCTTATTGTATATATATAGATATATAAAAAAAAAACCGTTTTTCCCCAACATACTTTTGGAGAAGGCAAATGTTTCGAATAAAGTACTCCCTCCTATTTTTATTATTTGTCATTCTAGCTTAATTGATTATTTGTTAAATAAATGTCGTTTTGGCTATTTTGTATACATATTTTTTCATTATTACCCTCATTGAACTAATAAATATACTACGTCTTTTCATATCCACTCTCTATCTCTTTTCAAAACATCAATCTCTATCCTCATACACTAGGTCTTTTCATATCCACTCTCTATCTTTCCTCAAAACATCAATCTCTATCTTCATTATTGACAAACAAAATATTCTTAATTATTATACAACTTTTTAAACATTCCTCTCTTATCTATATATGAAGAAGTGAGTGAGTTTAAAATGCTGACAAGTGTCCACTTATGGGCTCTTTAAATCTCAACACGTGTCCCATTTTATTTACAATGTTGCCACTCAGTATGTTAAATAACTAAAATGGCCTTGCTCTTTTATACTTGGACAATACAATACAATCTATGGGGTCTTTTGGTAATTCCATATATTTTGCTTTGTTGAACAATGAAGACCGGATTTTTGGGAGCTTTTGAGTGTAAAATGACGAAAATGTCGACAAAAATGCGCTCAGGTACTTTTAAGTGGTTGTTATCGTCATTTAAATTTCTGTAGTCCCTTCTCAGTTATCACACGCAACAATCACATCAAAGGAGAAGCAATTTCTCTCTGTCTGTATATCTTAATTTCTACCTACCCGGCTACCCCCTCATTCTTCAATCGTCTCCATAAATTTATCCAGATTCATACGCTTTCTCTCCCATCAAACCCTACCCATCATCAACCTATGTCGGTCGACAAATTGAAACAGTTCATTTCACAAAATACAATAGCTCGCTGCAAGACTGGAGAGCCGCGATTGGGTTCGGTCTTGCACTCTAACTCTTCGTTGCGAGTCGTCAAGAGCAAGAAGAGTTTCGGGCGGTGGAGATGTAGAAAAAGGAATTAGGTGCCGGAGCTCGCAAAGGCCGAGAAATTTACAACGTAGATGGCTGAGATATCTCAACGGTGACAGCAGAGGAACGACGGAAACCTTGCAGCACAGGAGAAGATGGCGCAAAGCTCGCGGGTATCTTTGTAAGTTGGTGGCTGAAAATTGAGTTTTTTTTTACTCTCAGACCTTTTTTGCACGATTAGAGAATTAGGTTATGCAGATAGTAGGCTTATTTTCTTGAACTGATCGAAAGGGCTTTTTATTGGATGGGACTAAATTGGAGTTGTATGAAAACATTGCATCTTTTTATTGCATCAGCTATTGTTTGAGTTATTATTGTTTCTTTTTTCGTTTCTGTTACTAAAATCTTTGAAAGATGTTTTTTTTGGTTACATTTTTCTTTTATTTATTTTATTCTGTGGGATAAAAATATTGTACCTTTTATGTTGAATCCACGATGATTATTTTTCTTGCACTATTTGAAAGAGAAGAAGGATCCTATGATGCAAGCAATATATTGACGGACATAGGACACATGCTTGCCAACGGGAGAATGGATGTTCCACTCAGCATATGCTTTGCAACTGCGCGTGCAGATGCCTTTTGTTGCACTATCTGCTGAGGCGGGGTCTGGAGCCAGACGAGTTGTACAGCAACAACCGCGCTGCACTGTTAAGGTGCCAATACCAAATGGTCATTCGTGTTATATCTTGATAACTTTTTCTATATATAGATTTCTATTTATATTCTATTTATATATATTGAGTGTGTGTGTGTGTGTGTGTGTATTGAATCAGCACAATGCTGCATCAAATGGGACTTTAGAGTTCGTTCTTCTACTTTTGGACTACGGTGCGGACACTAATAAAGAGGTATCTACTAATCCATTGCATTGTGTTTATAAAAAACAAGTAGTAAAGGTAAATATTCTTTCTCACAAGATAACTGTTTTTATCCTTTTTTTTGTGGCAGATTCTCTAGGAAATGTTGCCCTTTGGGATTGGATACTCAGAAATGACCAGCCAGTGATCAAGGTCCTCATTAACAATGGCGTCACGCTGTCGTCGAGGATGTCGGCCAGTTAGCATGCACGGAAGGGATGCCACCCTTCTCAACAACACGGGGACCACGAACCTCCACACAACCATCTTAGAGGAAAACCTCGAGAGCGTAAACGTGGTCGAGAAGGGTGCCGACTTCAACCGTGCAAACATGCACGGGTGGACCACACAGGTCTGCGTCCGAGGCTACGATATATGGACGCAGCACCGAACGTCTTCGCATGTGTTGTGTCTACAATCAGGGAAGGGAGGCGCGATGGAGACTGTGGAGAGGGACGCCGTCGGCTGAGAAAGATCACGTTCCTTTCGTCTCTAAAAAAGGTCTGGTTTTTTTTTTTTTTTCCCATTTTCAATTTGTGCAATTGGTGATGTAACTTGAGCTTGATGTCATTGGTGGTGTAAATTGGAATCACGATCTTGGAGGAATAATTATTTGTCTGGGTTAAAAGAATGCTGATTTTTTGATTGTGTTGTTGATATGAAAAAACTCCTCTGGAGGGATAAAAGGTCTGGGTTGTAATTGCTATTTGGGGTTCGAGGTTACATTGGGTTTTGAGTTCTAAGCTCGAATACGTAATGCGTTGAAATGAGCCGAAGAAGTATTGACTTGGAGTGTTTGTTCTGTGTCTTTTGTACAGGATGTTTATTCATGTGTGTGTGACTGGTGTGTGCTGGTGTTATTACTCTGGTGGGTTGAGAGTGGGGGTTCATTGTTTGCTACATTGTGTTTGGTGTGGACTCTTATGTTTGATGATTCATGAATCTTCTGCAGACATACATGCTGGGGAACCTGAAGGTGATGTCCTAATTTTCATGACAGGACAGGTATGTATTTTTTTCTTCTCTTCTGTATGTCATGTTGTTCTACTCATGATGCTTTACAGTTATATATTTGTTTATCTGCACACATGCAAATATGTCCCAGCGTTGCCCAAGCATTTCCGGATTCAAAATATATGTTCGTTTTATGATCGTCATTTTAAGGGTTTTCTGTTTTTTCCAATGTTCTGAAAATCGAACCGTTCATCGAACTGGTTAAGCTACTGGTTAAATGGTTCACTGGTCCAACCAGTGGTTAAACTGGTATTTAATTTATTAATATTTTATAGTATTTTAAGTATTAAATTACATATACAAAATATTATAAATCATCAAAATAGAAGCTTCTATATTAGTTCAACCAAGAAACACATTATAAAATCTTCAAATATTATTCAGTTTATTAATACAAAATAAAATACAAAGTATATGTATATATCTATTAAAAGTTGGAAAGGCACACACAAAAGTCAAACTTACTTTTCACGCTAAACCTACTCCTACCACTATGAGAAGTAAAAAACAAATTGCAAAGTTAATAAATTATTGAGAGAAAAATCCCAAATTATGTTCGAAGCTTCAAGAACAGCTACACCACTCGCCGGAATCGATGGCGTGCCCAGGGAATTCGATTCCGAATTTGGCAGCGAGTTTTACCTGGGGAGCGAGAGGAGAATTGGGAATCTGAAGAAACCCGAGGCGGTGTCGTCGCGGAAGAGGACAACGGCGAATCTGAGTTCGCTTTTGTGGGGAGAGGCTCCGGTATGCCATCACAGTCTCTGCCGACGAGATCTTCTGCAACGGCCAGATTCGGGCTTCTGCACAATGAATTTGGCCGCGAGTTTCACTCGGATTTTTGATGAACGGGACAATTTATACGAACCGGTCACCCGTTCCAACAGGGTCCGGATTACCGGTTCTACCGGTTTTCCCCTGGTTCAGACGGTTATCTCCCGGTTTTGGATGTCACCGGCTCAAATCATTGATCCGGACCGATATGAGGGCCGGTTCCCGGTTGAACCGGTCGAACCGGCCAGACCGGTCCGTTTTTCAGAACTATGGTTTTTTCCCTACAGTGATTAAGGAGATGTCGGCAGTTGTCGAATTCTTCAACCAAAGAGACCAAACATCCGGGGATGGTGTTACTGCTCCTCAGAACGAACCACCCCGATTACTGCTCTATTATTGCTGTTGGAGGCATCAGTGGAAGAAAAAGAAATTTTGNTAAAGCCTAAAAAGAAAAAGAAATAGGATTTTTTTTTTTTCTCTTCTGAAGGATTATGTCTGTGTGTTGGGCACTTTAGACTTAGCCACCTATTTGGTACTTTTAACTTTGAGTGGAAATATTGATTATTTATCTTCTATAATCCAAGAGTGTTTAACGTTGAAAGATAGCTAACTCAATCGTTGGTTTTGGTGTTTTTCAAGGGCTTTCTTAGGTGGACTTCTTATGGGGTCTAGATTTCCATGTACGGGCTCTGAATATTTTTGAAATTGTTCTTGAACGATGGTATTGATTGTTGTTAATTGAAGCTTTCAATTGCTTATCTTCTTGTTACCTATATATTGGTATTCAGTGATCTTGTGATTTGATTTTTTGATTGATAAGATGACTTTGTTCCAGAGAACTAAACATTTTTTTTCTTTGTGTGTAGGGATGGTTAGAATTGTTATGTTTAACTCCTATTGGGCTTTGTTGACTCATAAAATGTAAATTAATTTGCTTAGTAGAAGTTGTCCGCAACCATATTTCTACCTTAGAATATACAATCAAATTTGAGGAGCTAATGGATTTATTTCTAATTTCCAATGAAGAAGGGTTAACAAACCTTATGCATTTTTCAATGGTGATTGGCTAAATTGAAAGGTTTTGATATCAAGCATAGTGGTGAGGTAAAACTCATTAAAGTTTTTCAGTTTTTTGAAGTTCAATTATATAACTATTGTCAAAGGCCATTGTTCTCAATAAAATGTTTGCTCCGAGGAAAATACCATTTTTCCTTGGCAATAGCTTTGTGCTCTCTTTCTATCTTGCACTTTGGAGAATACCTGCTAGATGAATTCCAAAAATTCAATTAATTAATCATATTATTTGATTTATTGTAGGATTTTATATTATATATATTTATTTATGTAATTTTGTTGATATTTTTATAATGTGATGGTAAATGGTTGGAGCAAGTATGTGTGTGACCAAAAAAATCTAAATAGGTATGAGGAGTATAATGATGGGTGTTGTATTTGCAATAACTTTAGTTCTTGGCAGTTCTCTTATTTTTTCTTCAATTGTGCATTGATTTTTTTTTTTTAACCTACTCATCATATATTAGATTTATCAAACGCACCTACATGATATGTATGGAACTTAATTTATTATTTACCCATCACAAGTAAAGAGTTTATCTATTATGATAGAAATTATTTCTACAAATATTCTAAGTGCAATGTAGAAATATTTTTACATAAGTTTATAGCACAATATTTATGCAAATGAACATGTTCGAAGTTTAAGTCATGGATTAATGGATGCCAGTGACGAAAATCTCTTTGGTCTGATTTACCAAAACAAAACAAATAGTTATTTATTAATCTCAAATCAACCACAAAATGGCATAACCGTCTCAAATTTTCAATGTCTGTAGACTTAATTTTTCTATATACCCACTCTTTCATTAGTCATGTGATTAATTTTGCCATATGATAAACAGAATTTCTATGCTAGAGATTTGCACACCATCACATTTTTCATTTCATGGTTTCACTACTTAGAAGGATGCCAAAGTATTCTTTTGGGTGCTAAACATTTAATAGACTAAATTTAAGTTCGCCGTGCGTGCACAGCGTGAGACAACTAGTATTAAAATAGGAGGGAGTACATAATTAGCGCACACGCTCGCTCTTTTTCGACAAAAAAACGCAACTACAGTACACGCACGTATGGTTTCAGTTAATGCTTTCATCGTGCAACGCAAGAGAACCAAGAGATCACAGCTTCAACGCGCATCGACGTGCGTGAGAATATTTTAATAGAAAAAAAAGAAAAAAAAAAACTAAAATTGCTTAAGTTGGAACTTGGCAACGCATTTAAAATTTTCAGATCTATTTTCAGCAAGATCCATCTTTTAGCATTTGCCCAATCCATTTCTAGATAGCTTCGTTTTAACCTTTTGGAAACTTACATATCGCCAGAAATTTATCCCCTTCCCTGTAATATTTTATTCGCATTACCTTTTCGTGGAGCTTAATCATAAGCCACAGTTATTTATAAGAGTCAAAAAGCCGACTTTTTTTTTTCGCATCATTTGAAGGAGAGTTCTTTCAGGGATACTCGAATACCAGGTTTGTGTTTGTGTTTTTCTCCTCACAATTTTCTTGATCTCCTTTTGTCTTAAATCATGTTAAAGATTTGATCTTTTGTTATTCGTTGGGATGAGAAAAAACATTATGGACCGCGTGATTTGATTTCTTGATTTAAATTTCGATCTGTTTAATTATGGTGGTCTGAAGGTTGCCCTTTGCAGACTGCAGTACTATTTCTGAACGCATATTGTTACTTTCCGTAATGGGATTAAAAATCATGTTAATTAAGTAGCATATTTAGTAGAAATTAAATCAGTGATTGATTGTGATTTAGATTTGTTCAATTTTGGTCGAGGTTACCAAAACAAGAAGCTCTTTAATTTTGGCAGCATCCTTGTTTCCATTTAACCGTTTTTTATACCATTTGCGCCAATTTCCATAATAAAACTTTATTATCCTCAACATCAATGTTTTATTTCTTGGATCTGAATTATGAGTTATGACCCAATAATTGCAACAGTCAGATTCAAGATTATGGC